CCTGCTGGAAAACAACTAGTAAATGAGTACTTGAAGGTACTGATCAAGTACTCAACTGGATACTATTGCACAGTATGCTTAGGTACCCTGTTACCAAAATTGCAGTACGTTGATGGTCGAATCTAATCTTCGAATTTTTTCATTTTCTTTTCTCTCAAAACAATTTATTAAATTTTTTCGATATTATTTAATTTAATTTTTCCAATCCTGAAAACTCTAGCAGGTCAAATTTCGGGACCTGACCGGGCTTGAGTTGGTCGAATCTCCATCCGACCACTTCAGGGTAGTCCGATCTTAATTTACGATTAAGATCGGCATGTTCTCCACTAATAAATAGTCAATAAACAATCTAGAAAGAAAATATGAAAATAGTTTCTTTTCTTATGGTTCACTGAGTTGTTTATAAGGAGCCGTTCACGCAAAAGAAAACGGTGAATGAACAGATGCCACACAGAGCGCGATAAATCTAGGGTACCCTGTAGAGCTTTCTTCAGTAAAATTACAGGTGCGGGTACTCATACAAGTACTGCTTCAACGAAACATACTGATATGGGTACCCAATGCAGTACCTACAACAGTCTGATTACTGAGGATTTTATAAGTAACCTTAATAGGTACCCTGCTGTGGCTTTCTTAGTATGTGGGTAACCTGAACCCAGTACATTCCCTAGGATTGTCGATAAGAGAATAAGAAAGAAGGTGCTTTGTATTAAGTACTTGCGGTATTTCTTCAAAAATTTCATTGAAGACATAAAAAATACAAAACGCACCATTGAGTCTAGTTTTAGAAAACGTTTGTAATTTTTTAGTTAATTTATTTTGCCGATGTGTACGTCGAACATGTTCAACTATTTCTTTTATCAAGTGAAACATCTTTTGTGGTTCTTGTAGTTCTATATTCTTTTCGTCTGTAAATGTTTTTTCAGGTATTTTATTGAGATAATGATCGGAACAGCCTCTACGTTTAACATCATTGAATGCACAACGCATTTTATTTTCATTGTCACTAACAATGTACGATGATAAGCAAAGTGATAAACCAAATTCTTCAAGAATAGAATTAACTAATTTCCTAATATTTAAACTCGTTTGATTTTCAAGTTCGTATGATCTGCAACAAAGTGCAAATGAGTGAAGCTTAAATTTTCCATCGACATTGTGTAAAGAGATGCCAGCATAATGAGTCCCTATTTCATATTGAAGCAAAGAATAAAAATACACTCGAATAAAATACAAATAATTCATCTTTTAACATAAATTAAATATTTCTTCAATGCATAAAACAATGAATATAAAAAATTAATACTTTAATTTTCATAGAAACAATAAAGTTTGACTTAAATTTAAAAAAAACAAAGGTTTAAAATTTCATACGGTAATGATACGAAAAAGAATCAGTCTTTTCTAAGCTTAGCTTTCATATTGAATTTTTTTCGTTATGCACTTGTAAAGAAAAAAAAATATAACATTGAATGAAAATTACCTGTAAACCTTTCGCTCCAAAAGTCTACCGTGATGACAAATGATTTGATAGATTTGCATAAAGTTATTAATTGCGATTTACGTTTTTCATACATTTTATCAATGTTACGACTTATCTAAAAAAGAAAACTTAGAAACAAATAAACAAATAAACAAAAATGAATTTGAAATCTACTGTTCGTGAATCAGCAATCAAGTCATTTGCGTTCATATTGGATGATTCAAGTAGAGTACGACCAGTAGTAAGAACGCATTCGATTAGATTAATAAAGCCTAAACCATTAAGAGTTTCGAAGGACCTTCCATCAAGAACAACAAATTCCGCTAATGCATTCGTGATTTTATTTTTCTGTTTAATGGAAAGATCTTTTGATTTGTTTTCTGACGAGTTAAAATACTGTGTTATTTTAGCTTCTTTTTGTTCAATACGATTTTTTGAAATTTTACCGCAAGATTCTATATGTTTTTGCATACCACCGGTACCCGTAACTGTTTTATACGAAATAATTGATTTGCATGCATTACAAAGAACGTAGTTTTGTTTCACGTTGTTAACATGAATTATGCTGAAGTAATTCCAAACTTTAAATGTACTGTCCGATTGTTTTGGTTTTTGAATAAAAGCAATAGTAGAATCCTTAGTTGATATCAACTATAGTAAATCTTCTTTTGTAATTTTTTTTTCATTTGCGTTTAAAATTTCCATTCTAGCTTTGCATGAGATATTTTTTGTTGGTGATCATACGCCCATGTAACTTTTTTTCGAGTCGTAACGCGTCTCTGAGCGTTTGTGAACGATGGCACTTCACGCATCAGGACGCATTTAGAATGCAACATTTTCGGGGATACAGACGCATCCAGGGTAACCTGGCGCGTCTACACTCGTTCGGTATCTAAACGTATCCTAAGTCGTTTGCATTGGAAGACGAGTTAGGACTCCTCTAAAATGCAACATTTTCAAGCGTGGGAACGCATCCAAAAGCAAATGCGTCTAAACTCGTTTGGATACAAGATGGGTTAGAACGCGTTTACTTTTTTTGCCCCCAAAAAAATTAAAAATTATCAACACTGTGTCGGAATTGAGCCGACTCATCATAGGAAGCTATGATATAGCACCCACATACCATGAGCAACAGAGTGGTAATTTTTCCAACGATAGCGTGAACCAAGATTTGAACCCATGAACAGTTGATTACAAATCGAAAATAATTTGCGCTGAGCCATATATTGCTTGGTATTGTTATTATCTTCATGAATCACATAAATTAATCGTTTTACAGTGCTTTTGACTTATCTTGTTCTTTAAAATAAATATAGTTAGGATATTTATTTTAATGAAATCAAGACAAGGCATTCTTTTTATCCATGACATAACAATGGGATCAAACGCAAAATTTTGGTTACTGAAAAAATTAAGAAAAACAAATATATCTGTCTTTGAGGGGTATAAATGTACATATATGTAGTATAATAATATTAATTAACATTTTTTTCCATTAGTATAAGGACACTATAACAAATGTTTTTTTTTTTTTATAGAAAATGAGAACGATATATCACAACATATAAAATAAAAAATCTTGTCTGTGTATTTTTTCATAACTGTCATACTGTAATCTTTTAAGTCATCCATCCGAAATAGGATAAATGATCTTATAGCAAGAATTTTTTAAACTTACTTAATTTGTTTTTTTTAGAACAGAATATTGATTGATATTTGAATTAAAATATTTAAAAATTGTTTGTTTTGAATTTTTAAAATAGTTACGATGCGTTTTTTTCGTTTTTCTTAATTTCATAAAATAAATTTTATTTCGAAGCATTGTTCATTATAAGAAACAATAAAGATAACTATACTAAACTTTGCACCAAAGAACATTTTTGTGCAGTTTTTATTTTAAAAGCAATTGAAAGTAAAAACATAATATGCATCTAATTTACTTAGTTATTTACGACAGTGATGATGAAAATTCTAACGATAGTGTCAAGATAATAATCTATCCTGTGTGTAACAGAAAGTACTTCCGAGTTTAAGGAAATAGAAGCATACGCTTATATTTATAGCCTAATATTTTCAATAAAAACTTTCGAATAGAAATGCATTATCACAGAAATACTCATTCGATAAAATCAATGTGTTAAACCAAAAAGCTTATTTGACTCAATCCTCAATATATAAAGAAAGGCCGAATTTTAGAGTTCAAAAGAAAAATACCATGGATATCATATACGTATTCAATAAAACTAAACAGATTTCTCTTTTACTTAACTGAATCAATAAGGGACTTTTTTTTACCGCTACTTAATAGTATACAAAGACGAAATATAACACAAAGCTTTTTCTCCTAGTGCAATGTAGCATTCCATGAGCTCACTCATACCTCCATGAAACGCGTTTTATCTACTTCGTCGGTTTTACTGTGTTTATTGGATAGCAAATGAATTGCGTTTCAATTGTGGTGCAAGATCTAACGCAAGAAAAGACACAGATTGCGTTCACACGTGTTTTAAAATAGGCACTAAAACGCGTTTGTATACGTTTGCTCTGGTTAACGCTAATAAACTCGTCGAAGTTCTTTAAACACGTTTAAAAAGATAATTACAAATGCCTTTATCTGCGTTTTTATCATAACTCGATACCGAAACGCATCAGGCCGCCAAAATTTGCAACATAGACGCGTCTAACTGCGTCTAAAATGCGTTTCGAGATTAGATGGGCGCTTCCTTTCTTCTCTTATTATACAAAAAATGATCAGTATATTTCAACCAATAGAAAATATTTTCATCAAGTATTCCATATGCATACGTGCGACAAAAAGATATCGCATCAATACAATTCATAGAATTTCCGTGACTCACGGTCACGATTATCAAGGCCAAGATCGCGACCGTGCGTGACTGTGACCAAAAAAAAGTGGTCACGCCGATGTCTAATCTATACCCTTACAACTATACCCTTGAAATATATCCTTATATGTATACCCTTACAACTATACCCTTGAAATATATCCTTATATGTATACCCGTACAAATATACCATTATTTGTATATTTCCTAATAAAAGTGTTTCCGGGAAACCTTTAGACCCTTTCCAATTTTGTCACTGTCTGAAAACCTTTCAGAGTTTCAGAATATTGGTGTTCAAAGTCTTCCGAACCTGAGGGTGTGGGTGTGTTAGAGTTAAAAATACAGTCACATCCACACCCCACCCACACTCACACCCTTACAATGTTTAATATCAATTAATAATTTTATTTGTTCAAAAAAATAAATAAAAATTCAAGTCTCTATATGCAGAGGCTTTTCCATGAATATATGAGCGAGTCTCTTTTCACGAAAGGCTCTATTTGTTATGAATTATAACTTGGTGGAATTAAATAATGATTGATTCTTGCTGGATGTTGGTGAATTTGTTTTTTTTTCTTCTTTTCTTTTATTATTGTTTGATGTTGTTTTGCAGGGTCGTCAAATGTCAGAGTGAGAGATAAATGTGAGAGAAGTATGTGTGTACGTACAACGTGTACGTTAACTTTATTTAACAAGAATGTGTTTAAATATAATAATAACATCTATATATAGAGAGAGAAAAAACAAGAAAAGAGCAGAGAGAAGACAGAAGAGAAACAAATCCAGATCAAAGAAGATGAAAGAGGATAGAGGAGGACATATATCGATATATAGAGTTTGTATGCGAGCGACATCCCTGTAACAATAGTTCTCATGCAACGACTTCTATGGAAGGATATAATTTGAATTTTCAAAAGTAATTGCCTGAACACCATGGCATTAGAGAAAACTTACAAGGCTGCGTTTCTTGTTCGCCAGATTACGGCGAATTTCATTTTCTCCAATGTTTATCTTTCAAAGGAACAGTCAGTCATCAAATGAAATTTTGTAATATCACATTGGCAAAGATATCAACAAATCAAGCATCGATAGTAGCCGATCAGTGAATAAAGCTAGTCGAAAAAGATTTGATGTTGAATATCAAAAGGATTTCGTTAGAAGGAAAAAGTGAGTTTATTTGAAATAAATAGTGACTTACGTTGACAAAGTCATAGTATTTTCAGAGAAAAAAAGGTTTGAAATATAAGAAAATGAACTTTAATTCGTTATGCTCAAAGATCTTTAGCATATATTTCGCCTTCATAACCTGTGATATATCTTCCTAAGTATGATCATTCCACTATGATTAAGGTGTGCAAATATAAGACTTGTTCAGTGAAGCGGAAAAAAATTAAAACGAGTTTGAAAGATTCCGATTATATGAGAGTTCAACAGTCCTTGCAACATTCCAAGCATGCGATTTCCTCGAGGGCACAGCAACAACATAGACAAACCAAACTAAGAGAAAGGGAGAGACAGAGCATCAGTCAATATATATAGTAGTATTCTTGAGCTTACCAATCGAAGCAGGGGCCGCCACCACGAAGACCCTCGGGAAAATTATCTCGTGGTTGAAGTGGTTGTTGAATGATCGGACCGACTTTGCTTGCGTTTTTTGTCACTATAGAAAAGAAATATAATTTGACTCTTCGTGAACAAAACAGAAGATTCTCTTGTGTGAGTTGTAGTGAACACAGATAAACTCGCCTATCTAATTTACAAACGAGTCAATACTGTAATTCATGATACTTTCTTCTTCTCGTCTATTCTTATTGAGATGTCAAAGTTGAGTTGTTTCGATCTAGTGAATTCTGAAAGGAAATTGAAAGAAAATGATACTTACGCGCTTGGTCTTGATTAGAGTCCGATAGAACTCTACCAATAGACTTTTACATATTAAATAAGAATTGGATATTTTTCTTCGACTTACGGAAAACGCGTTTGTTGAGTAGCCGAAGTCATGGTTTAAATCAATGGTTTGATCACAATGTTGCTAATTCGTCGTCTCGTTTGTTTGAATGGTGCGCTTATTCTTTTACGCGTCATAAATTTTCTTTTTCTTTGTTCACGTTTTTGACTCTCGCCTCTTTTCTATTGCGCGCTGGTAGCATAATTAACATCAGCGGTCCGGATGGTCTGAGTGTTTGTGAAGTTGAAGGAAAGAAAAATATGCAGTCGCCTTTTTCTTCGCCACTTCTTTGCTTAACGTAGGTTGTCTATTAACTCGACGTTATTCATATGAATCCAACAGCAACACAGAAAAAAAATACCATGAATAAGACAGTCTCGTTGTTTGTATTAGACAAACCATTGTTTGCAAAGCGCGGGCGTTTTTTTTACTCAAAATAGTGGTGCTATTTTTACTCATTGCTCGCAGAAAAATACGGGTAGAAAGAAATGAGTAATAGCGCGTTTTTAAAGAATCGGAGGACGTTTTTACTGACAAGTAGGGCGCTTCTTTTCATAGCGAATGTGTTAGTAATGAACCGATTAAAATTGAAATTGACGCATTAAAACATAATGTCAATGGAGATGTTCTCATTCTACATCAGAAAAAGGACGACTCCTGATTACTTAAAATAATGATCTCTCAAAACATTTGCAATATTTTGTTTTATACAATGAGTGCGCATTTTCAAAGTTTCTCGAATTTTACCACTTGAACTGATCGCAAAATTTATAATCGTAATTCATTACAGCGCTAGACCTTCGGCAGTAAAGATACTGAGTGGTATTAATAACAAAAGCCTAAGTGGCTCAAAAATATTCTGGAATTTTAAGAAAATTCGGTAAAAATAAATTGTGACGTTTTTTAGTTTTTACGTAGAGGAAATTTTTAATTCGCAATGTGAACTTTTGTTGTTCGTATTGATTTCTCGATCTACTGCAACTATCAGCTGATGTGCATAGAATAAAGAAATGAATGTAGCTGCAACTTCATCGAATAGTCACTTTCACTTCTTGCAGATTTATTGAGGAACAATTGAGCGACAATATCCATTACTATAAATATAATGAATATTTTACGCAATAAACAAATATGTAGGAATGCTAGATAGTTACGTTTACCTAACTCTTTATTCCTTCAAAACCGACTTCAACTAGAATCACTTCAACTACAACTTCTTCCAATCCGACTTCACCTAGGTCTCTTGACCAATAGATAGATATGAGAACCATGAGAGGTAGTGGTCGCAGATAGCGCCACTACCTCACAAGGAAAATTCAAAACTCTCTCGGGAGACATTGAAAGCTCATTTTCTAGTTAATAAGAAAAATACATTTCCCTGCACGAAAAACAGGAATTTCAATCATCCCTAAGACAAATTTTAAAATTATTTAGCTCCAAGTTGAGTGGGAAAGAAATTACATTAATGGAGAAACTAGTTCTCTAAGAGTGTATACGAATAGTGAAACATTCCCGTTCAAGATTAGCGTAGACGTTTATTTGAAACTGGTTGTAAAGACATTTTTAGTATTGTTCTCAGACATAATTTATCAACCAAGAACTGTTTTGTGAAACACGATCTGAACGGAGTGTTGAAGTATATAGGGTAGAAATTTAGACCCACCCCCCAATCCCCCCACAGACAGGGAGAGAGAAATTAATTAATTAGTTAGCTGATTAATTAATTAATTTCTCTGTCCCGGTCTGTGATGATTTCTGAGGTCTTTGTCCCGACCTGTGATGATTTCTGAGGTCTTTGTCCCGACCTGTGATGGTTTCTGAATTTTCTGTCACGGTCTGTGATGGCTTCTGAGGTATCTGTCTCGGTCTGTGATGGTCTGTGAAACTTCTCTGTCACGATCTGTGATCGCTTCTGAAGTCTGTGCAACGGTCTGTGATTATCTCTAGAGACTTCATACACCATAATACAGATACAGACCGTCACAGACCGCGGTAGACGGATTCCAGAAAACGATCTTCATCATGTTTCACATTTTAATCCCACAGGGATTGCGCTAACAGCTTTTTCTAATACAGTGATGTTGTCTGTTCTGCTTTCATCTTTTTCCTAATGGGTAGGGTGCGATGTCGTCAAATGTTGTGGTATCTGGAGCCACTAGCATATCTCCTAACTACATCCATATGTTGCCATCCACACCCACACCCCTGGTTGCATGTACATTGCGACACCAACCAAACGTCTCTATTCAAGAAGGCAAGTTGAATAGGCCTGTTTCGTCACATTCACATCTGTGGTTCTAAGCCGCTGTGTAATGATTTTATTTAGAAAAGTTAGTTGAAGACACAAGCAACCATAGAATGCCAAAAATGAGTGTCCACGTGGAAGGATTGTACATATACCTACTAGCACTGGACGGAGTGACTGCTACAGCAAACTTTTGAACTCGAAAGTTTTCCCAATCACTCACATATAAGCTTCCCTCGTTGTCGAATGCCAAGTAGATGGGATTGCTCAGTTGGTTGGAAGCACTGCCTTGGCCATGACCACCTGCGATGATTACGCTGTTTTTTGCGTTCTCCAATATACACAAGATGCGGTGATTACGCTCGTCTACTACATAAAGTGTGCCATTTTTATCTCGAATCATGCCGCCTGGTACATTGAATTGATCTGTTCGATTGCCAACTCCGTTACCACCTGCAACGAGAACTGCTGCGGTAGTATTCACCATCCATTTCACCACACGTTGGTTTCCAGAATCTGCTACATAGACAGATCCATACTCATCGACTGCGACACCTCGAGCTAGAAAGACAAGGGATAAACAGTAATCAGCCCACCAGTCACACACTACCAGTCTGCTTCATTTGACATGTCGATATTGTGCGTGTTGTTCATGTTGCGCAACTTTTACAAGAGTACACGAGATTTTTGAATATCATTTTTACGATAATCAAGTTGATTCAGAGCGGGTCCCAGGCCATTGCCCCCAGCAACTACTTTCACAAATTCTCCATTCTTCGTATATTTGTCTACTCGATGTTCGCGATGATGACCAAGGTAGAGATACTCTTCATTCTCATCCCAAGCGATACCGTAAATAGAAGTATTGGCAGTAATGAACGTTTTAATCAAGGTATCTCCTTTCTTTAAAGACATCACGCTTCCACTCGAGCCATTCTCGACAGCAACGAATAAAGTGCCCGCCTTGTTGAACGTAATGGCACTAGGATAACACAAATCGCCCAGATCGCTTGCTCCACATAGGCCTTCAGCATAAATAGTACCACTTAAAGCACCCTGATCCCATTTAACTACTCGGCGGTTCAAATAATCAGTGACGAAGACAGCACGATTTGAATCAACAAAAATCCCATATGAAGAGTTCAACTGGTTAAGTGCACTACCTGGACCATTGCCGCCAGCAGCCGTTTTGCCATTAGATTCCCATATTGTTTCGGTACATGGTGCTGCTGAAAAATGATCGATTCAATTCTCATGAAAGAATATGCAACATTTTCTACTTTAAGTTGTGATTATTATCTAAGGGAATTTTTCACTTACTATAGCACGTCTCAATCTCTGCATGAATATTCCGACAAAAGAGTATGATGAAATACCCATGTTGCGAATACCGGATCAATTTTTGCGGTAAACCGCGGTATTTATCCGTTCTGCGGTAATGGGAGCCGGTAACCGGACCGGTAAAACCGCGGTTAACCGCCGATTTTCATGCGGTTTTTATTACATGGGTACCTAGTACTGAGAAACGACTATTCTTTTACAATATATTCATTACACACCTTTATCTATCTTGAAAAGTGTCCTAAACTAGCTAGCATACTAGGAGCATCAGTTTCAACCAAACATATTTCTATGTACTAACGGTAACACCGGTCAAAGATAGCGCAAAGTTCCGATAAGAATTTGGATGCAACGAGCTCGCTGGACGTAAACGGAGCCGACCGGATTTTTGTTATTTTCTAACCAACTTATAAATGATCAAGTTGAGGAATAATTTACATACTTACCTCTTAATGAATCGCGATCGTAAGTTCTGTAGCTCGATGCGCGAGCTAGAATGTGTAGTAAGAAGAAGAAGAATAGTGCTCGACTTTTTGTCATCATTTCAAGAAAAATAAATTTGTGCACACCTTTCCTTTTTTTATATTAACAGATAACGATACGTCATTATAGTATTCGACCAAGATTAGTGATTTAGCTTCTTCTTCTTTTCTCACATTATCAGTTATGAGTTTGCAAATTTCAAGTGATGTCAGGCTTACGCAGTTAGAAAAAAATTGATTTAATCGAATTACGATGAGTTTATTGCATGAATCACTAAACAATAATTATTGTAGAGTCAGATGGGAAAAATTAGAAACATTTGACTCAAACATTGTCTTTTGATGCCTGTTTATCAGCTAATTTCTCCTTTGAATATCACAATCTTTATTTGGCGCTCAGTTCATCGTGTTCTTTCTGGCGAATCTTGAAATCTTGTCGACGAAATTCCTAAACTTTGAGGAACTGCTATAAAGTTGCCAAAAATATCAGCCATCCGATCCAGATTACTCGATGGAAACTATTACTTCAGATTAACATGGCTCCCAGCTGAACAAGTTCTTCAAAAAATATCTGAAAACACCGTTGTATTCATTCATAGGCATATTGTAATTTTTACTCTCAGGATTTTTTTATGCTAAATATTTAACCCACCCGGACCCTGGCACATATTCTCACATATATGTATAGGTTGTAGTGTGATTCACTTATCTTTGGTGTTTTTTTTTCTTTTTTCTATATTCTATTAACATGAAGATGTTACAAACTCGTTGAAATAGTGTTTTTTTTACTCATATACACAGCCCACATGTAAACATGAAACGCAAAATTGATGGGTTTAGACATAATTTGAAAACAATATTAACCGCGTCTCATCGCGTTCCTTATTGAAATCGCGTTGATACGAGTTAATAAAATTCGACTGAACGTGTTCTAAAACAGTGTAATCTGAAACGCGTTTGAACGCGCTTGTGTTAAAAATCGCCCTAGCATGCGACTAACGACATCATATTCGTTATAAGATGTGAAATATAAGTGAATAGATCAAGTTAAATTAGTGAAGAAATTTTGTTTTTGTTACAGTCCCTGTAAGCGATAAATCCTTGCATTATTTTGCCTTTATCTAAATTTAAGAAAAGAATATATGATAAATATTTAGATGAAAAATATTCATAACGTACATAAACCCAGAAATAGATATCGTTAAAATTATTAAATCTAGAGATTTGCTCTCCATTCATTTAAATAAAAGCACTTTTATATATTGATATTTTACACTGCTTGTATGTTCGTGAGAGAGCTATATAAGAGTATCAGACGTAGATTTGGTCACATTCGACAGTAATGTGACAAAAAATCTATCAAGTTTCTGTTCTATTCTATTTGTATATTATTTGGTATTTGTAGCTTTTACACATTACATTATTGCTGTTTTACATACTAAGTTTTGGTGGTTTTCAAATAGAAAGATTGAATCATATTAATGAAACTTATTTAAGGTTGCTAATATGACGATTAGATTTTGGAAAAATAAATATTAGATTTTTCTTAGCTGAACTTTGCTATCAAAGTTCTTTATCTTTTTATGTATTATTTTGACGACTTCAGATGATCACTATTAAATAGTTTCATGAATAAGTCTAAATCCTTTTTTCAATTGATATAGTCATTATTGAAAGCTCTCATTTCAGTTATATTGATAGTTATATTAAGAAGAAAACAATGAGAATATATTTAGTAAAATAAAATAAGCTGATATTAAACGTGGAACTCCGATAGTGCCGCCGGTGATTTTATATAAAAAACATTGTTGCACATCCTCTCTTAAACGGAAAAGGCTCTCAAATGAAGTTTTGAAATTAAAAAAATATTGAATAAAAGTTAGTTTTGTGAAAATATGTTTTCTAGCAAATATATATATATATTGATAATTAATAATTTCATAAAAAAACGTTTTTCTCTACATTTCTATGATAGAAATTCTATCATTACTATATTTATAAATTTTATATGAATTCATAACCCTCATAGACTTTGCATGCCATCCGACAACGATTGTGGCCATATATGGCGTCATGGTACGTATAGCTACATGTCTCTTAATCATTGGTTCACAAGTTCTAATCTCATTTCTATCGTTTCAGTTTCAGATTCACCGATATGTCGATATGCAAACAGTTCGTTGACCTACAGTAAGATACAGACAATGCGATAGAGGATATCAATGGTGACTCAGATCAAACCTGAGACGAACTGAAATTTTTTTTTCATTTTTCATAAATTGTATGGAACGCGTCCCCAGTGAAACATTCGAAGCGTTTTTATTTCAAAACCCGTTTGTCCCCGATTTTTCGAACAACCGTGTCTGAATGAGATTTTACCTTCAGTCGCGTCTAAACTCTTCGTTTGTTTCACTGGGGACGCGTTTCGAGGCAAAAAATATTTACATGGGAATTGTTGTATGTTGAACCTTTTGATTTCCACTTAAGTTCAATAAAAAGAAGATTTATACTAATAATCCTCATCTAGTTTAATAACGCTCCACCACCTCTGATTCATTATGATCAATATTTTATTTGAAAGTTTGAGCGATTAATTCTTTTATTTAAATGGTATCACTAAAAAAAAGAGTGTCCACATACAAAATTTAGATTATAAAAATCAAGTCGACTGATTCGATTTTACAGTGGTAAGCTAACATGAAGTGTATTATGTGTAGTTTGATCGGGACCAAGAGTTATATTTTGATATCTTTCACAAACATTTGGAATATAATCAAGAAGATTTTCATGTATATGGGTAGCCTTTGAAGATGTTTCAGTATGAACTGGAACTAACGGTTGCGCATCACTATCGGCAGGCATATTCATAAATAGATGACGTATATTCATTGAAATAGATTCACCGATGCAAACTTTTTCATTTGAAATATCGATTAAAAATAAATCGGCTGGTATGGATGTCGAACGTTCGACTTCCTGATACGAGTGTTCATTGCCATTTATTGTCAGCGAAGATTGAACACGTGTAAATGTTCGATGTTCATGGTGAGATACATTCTCAACAATACTCGATGATGATGTTCGATAAGTATCATTTCGAGTAATCATACGATCATAAGAAGAAAGATCACCATTACTATTAGATATATTCCTGTAGTTGTTAAAATGCGACGAAAACACTGGAGATGCTTGTATATGTCGATGAGGTGATACATGATGATTGCACTCTTTTGAAGAACCATTTGTGATAGTGGACAGTGTATTGTCCGTTTGAGTATGTTGATCATGAATAACTCTTTTAATTTTATCTCTTTTTCTATTTGTGTACTTAGTCGACACTAAACCCATTGTATGTAAAATTTCAATTCTTATTCACCTATCATTTACGGTTTTGTTTTTATCATTTGACCGAAAGAGAAAAAAGGACCGAAAATAAACTATTGATTTGGTTATTCGTACTACCAACATCTGTATCTACATTCAAGGACAGATTAAAACCCAAATATATTTCTAACAACAGAATAAAATATTTTATAGATCCAAAAATAAATACCTACGAGTGTAAATCTGTATGTTGACAGTGACATTTAACATACTGAAGCTTCATAATAAAGAAACATACTTTATTCTAGTGTTCTCTTTTGAAAAGTTGTTTTTCTTATGTTTTCTACAGAGGATACTGATTCAATATGCTGATTATACTATTGTATTATTACGACCTTTTTCTGTTATTCTATTCGAGCAATGGTCTTGTCTATACTAGGAGAATCATACAGTATTAATTTGAGCATTAAATCAAATTGCATTAGCATCTTACGCTACAACAAATAAAATACAAATCGTATTCGTTTTAAATAAGATTTTATAAAAAAGAAAATATTCACATTACATCAATCTACTATATTGCTAACGAAGAGAGAAAGTAAAAAGCACCATCGTTTTACGCAAGTTATCATAAAATATAATTCGTTGTTGGTACAAATAGGCGCATTAGATAACCCATAAAATATTAACTTCAGCGGTATCTACGTTTTGTTTAAAAGAGATTAGATCCACCATTGAAAAGGAAACACGTCTCGTTTTACGCTAGCCGATGACATTATAAAAAGGATATTTTTACTTATGTTACGCTCTCTACAGATAAATATAATATATTAAGGAACCAGCCAGTATGTCAAAAGATAATTATATAATATTATAGACTTAATAAGTCTCAATCAGTTTTCCAAGTACTGATGGCCTAATTAAAGAAACGTTCTTCAATTATTAGTGGCCTGTATATCGCCCCAATAATAAAATGTGATTTCAAACATCTACACATTTAGAACATGCTCTACAAAACTATGATTGTGAGTTTTTTAATCTACATTGTAGAGATTCTTAATTTAAATAAATATCAACCACTTGAATAATTAGTCGGTGTCATTTGATTTTAGTTGAAAAAAAATATAAAAAAAACACTTCTATCTGAGTCTTCGATCATTATCCGGGAAGATAGGAATTAATTTACGAAATTTTTGAATTGATAGGTGTATCATATATATTTATAAAGAATCTTCAGTAACCAAAAGTGAAAGCAATTATCAATAAGAAAAAAAGTTCTGGCAAGAAAAATCGTGCCATAAGATATTGATGACATTTTCTACTATTTAAAAGTTTTTATTTTTCATAGAATTCGAATAATTCAAATCAATGAAATGTAACAAAGTTTTACCTGAAAAACTTTCTTAAGATCTTAATAAATTGTGAATTTTACCCTAAATAATATCAAATAAAACCCAAGTACAGTCCGGGTAAATTAATTTACTTCAAGTCTCGATCGAATCTCAAGATGAAAAATTTACTGACAAATTAACAACGGAAAAGATAATAGCTATTTTATGATATATCGAAAGTCTGTTTTCGATCGAACTATTTTTCTTTTCTAAAATCAATCACAGCATTTTTACGCAACAAACTTTCTTTGAATTCTGTTAGTCAAAGAAAGAAAATCGAAACATGAGTTCCTTCTACATAAAAATGACAAACAATCTGTAACCAAGTATTCAAAGTGAATGAGTATGAAAAGAAGAGACAACAAATAATACGTATATCATTTGATAGAGCATATCAAACTGTAAAAAATGGAGAATTCATAACCTTTTTTCTTTTATAATTAGAAAATATCCTTTGCTTAATAAAGACTCTATAGCATAAAAAATTAATCTAAATTGGTTCAGCAGAACAAAAATTATTGTCGTAGTACAGCTGAACTGTATCTTACGAAAAAGTTACAATTCATTCTCAACAGAGACCGAAATCGAATCGAATTGCCGAATAATTCGATTCGATTCGATTCGCCCCAGACGAATCGAATCGATTCCGAATGGAACTTCAAAACTACCGAATCGAATCGAATGAATAAAAAAAAATTGAAAAAAAGCCGAATCGAATCGAATTGATTTTTTTCGTGTTTTCAGCCGAATCGAATTGAATTACAATTTTTAAAAGGCCAGAAAACCCGAATCGAATCGAATCACAGTCCTAAAAAGCCGAACCGAATCGAATGGCACTTTTGTCATCGATTTCGGTCTCTGATAGATACGACAGAATAATCTAATCCTTCAATATCTTTTGAGCTTCCCATATTCATTACACATGATTGTGCTGACCGTTTTTTCATCAGACTATTAGACGCGTCCTTCCATTCTTTTCAAATTGATCTATTTTTTCTCACATACAAGAGTTCCTCTTAAGCATTGGCATGAGAAATACAATGAAACATATGCTGTTTTTTATGTATGTAATACCACGTTTGAGTTTAAGACGTGCTCACAGTTCAGACTAGTTTTTTTTTGTGAAACATACTATCGAGAAAACTTGACAAACAAGATATGCTACAGGAATAGTATAGACACATTTGACAAAAAAATCCATAAGAAAAATGTTAAGAGACCCATTAGTTTACCGCATCTTTTCGTTGCAGATTTATTTCCTTGAAGTAAGGAATGCAGAAACATCAATGGTTTTTTCGACCGAATATCCATATTCCTGTAAGAAATAATTAGTTGTAACCTGTGATTATCCTCAATAAGATATGCTCGTAGGCAAATAGTCACAGCATATGAACTGAAACAAATTTTTGACGACTTCGTTCGATTACTATCAGCGTTATCTAACGATTTATTGGAGTTACTTCATTTCTTGAGCAGAATTAATGGCAGACAAACTCTCACTGATCCTCTAGTAGGTGATCACAGAATTTATTCTATATTGATCGCCACATTATGTGATTTATTAAAGAAATGACACAGAAACAATTATCTTGCACAGATGGATTCTCCAGGCTTATTTCGTTCTATAATCAAAATCTTCTGTAAAACCATTGAGAAAATGTTTCCATGATATTAAAAACCTTGGAAAGTATGAAATATTTGTCCAAACTGGTAAAATTTACATACAAAATGAACAAATTATAGACGCATTGATGAATTGTTTTTGTTCAGATTATTATCTGAAAATGTTTCAACGAGCTGAAAAAGTGAACAAATTTTATAACCTATCCAGGTACGATATATATCTCGTCGTTTCTTCTCTATTGTATCTGTTCATTAGGTCAACAGAAAAAGCTCTCCATTTAGTGTGAACATCGTTTTTTTCTACTTGTTTCAAAGTTTTGTATTGACGAAGTATATGAAATTAACGTCTTTTACTTGTCAAACGATTTCCTCCTGCTTCATCTGTTATACTCAATCAAATTTATTGAAATTGAAAGCCAGTGATTTTAATCTCGCTCTACGCAAAAATGAAAAGTAACTTTACGCCTATTATTGATATTTTTCATTCATACAATTTTGTAAAGCATTAAAACCGATGGCATAGTCTAAAAGCTTGGGAAGATTTCTATAAGTATGGCTGGAAAAACAGTTGAAAAATGATCTCAATGCAATTAAACATTTTATGTTTCCCTGACAGATGGTGTTGGAAAGCTAGGTATTTTATATTGTAGATACGATTTCACGGAAATAAACACAAAACAGCTAGAAGCTTGATTTTTTCAAAAGTGAATGGTCAATCTTCGACCATTAACATAAAATCAAAAGTATCCAAATCCATTGAGTAGAACTTAACTTATAACTATTTTTATTTTCGAGACTGCACGGTGCAATGGGCACGCTCTTCGCTTGTATATATATTTGAAAGTGAAAAATTAACTAAAAGCTTAAAAATAAGAGTTAATCTTGGTTTAGTTGTTCACATTTTGATGCAAAAATATTTACGAATTGGCTGTTTCATGCTCATCATTTTGGCCAGCAGGCTGTTGGAGTGGAACTGATTCTTCGGCTCTACTGGGTCGTCTTGTACTAGTAGCAGCTGAAGCACTACCGTTCGAACTCTGCGATTCCCTGTTCAGTTGTTTAGGCATTAGAATAATCATTGCAAAGTCTCGAATAAAAAACCATCCCCCTTGAATTACCATTATATCAGTAATAAGTCGCTTTTCAAGTGTACTTAATTGATAAAAGCCAATATTATTTGGTATAGAGCTCATAATAGTGAATAGAGCGCTCAAAATCATTGTCGAGAGCTTTATCCAATTTTCAACATTACAGGGCGTTAATATTTTCTTGCTNATTATCGAATTTTCTTTAAGCAAAATAAAATGTAAACACTGCTAATATTATACATACAATAAGGGACGAATAAATATCTCGATCATAATTTCTATAATATATGATAATCAATGAAGTAGTGAACGAGAATAGCATAGCTTTCACTCAGTATTTCTACCTTCTGATTAATTATTCTATGGTCAGCACTTCAAATATATTTTTAAGCATCAGGAAACTGCATCCACACTAAATTGACAATTTTATTCAAGTTCAGTTTGATAAGCATATTGCATAATCGAATATGAAAGAAAGAAACAAGTTTGTTGGTTAGGGGAGCGGCTAACCCAACCCATTCTTCAAAGCAATCGATAACTCATCATAGAGAAGAAGGGCAATACAACGAATATGGTGCCTTCTTACTAAAAGAAAATAGTATCCAATCATTTTTGTTGAAAGTTTTCGTAACCTATTATCATTATAATATAAATTCATAAAACTAATATTTTTTATCTTTAATTTTTCATGTCGTCGTCAAAATCTATACATCTTGAATACGTTTTTGTTATTGGACAAATACCATTAAGGTGATATCTGAGGTTGTTTCATGGCGCATATTCGAATGAATGAATGAATAGGCATGCAGCAAAACCAAACCTTTTGGTTTTGAAGTTTTGGTTTTGACTCAAAACCAAAACTATATCAAAACTAAAACCGTCAAAACCTTTGGACAGTTTCGGTTTCGATTTTTCTTAGACATGAAAGAATGAATATCTAAACGAAAATTGTTCGTCTTTTCGCAGCGCTCCGAATGGCCGGAAATTGAATGTCCGTTTTTCGGGCATGAAACGATTTTTCATGGTTCTTCTCAAAACTACCATAGATTTTCGAGACCGTGGAACCCGAATCTGAGCACCATTAGTCTTGATATTCTATTGGTTGGTCAAGAATCAGCGAAAATCCAATCCTATGCAAAATTCTCTTTTCCAGGAAACTCGATTTNCTGAGCACCATTAGTCTTAATATTCTATTGGTTGGTCAAGAATCACTGAAAATCCAATCTTGTGCAAAATTCTCTTTTCCAGGAAACTCGATTTGGTGAACTCGAATCTGAAATTCATTTTGGAAACATCAATATTGCAATTGTTTACTGATTGAATAATAATGGTTTGGGGAAAACGCCGGTCCAATTCGAACTCTCCACATGAAATTACATACAGGGAGATATTTTCTGAAAAACTCGATTTCTGCTGGTTCCGGGCGGACCAATAGGGTTTCGATGAAAATGGTGCTCAGATTCGGATTCCTCGGTCTCGGAAATCTATGGTAGTTTTGAGAAGAACCATGAAAAATAGTCCATGCCCGAAAAACGAACATTCAATTTTCAGCCATTTTGAACGCTACAAAAGGACAAACAATTTTCCTTTGGGCACTCATCCTTTCATGTCTGCGAAAAATCGAAACCGAAACTGTCAAACGTTTTTGACGGTTTTAGTTTTGATATAGTTTTGGTTTTGAGTCAAAACCAAAAACATTGTCAAAACCAAAGCCTCAAAACCAAAACCTCAAAACCAAAACCATATCAAAATCAAAACCATCAAAACCAAAAGGTTTGGTTTTGGTGCATGCCTATGCAAATGAATTACACGACAACTCAAATTTTTATATTTCCCATATATTCTTTATATCAAAATATAAATATAAACAGATTTTTAATGAGCTACACTAAAAAAGCTTGTCAGCGCAGCCCCTTTGGGGCTAAAATGTCGAACTCACATATTGCCTATCACTTAGCTCCTATTTTACTAGAGAGATTAAATCTTAGTGTAATCAAGTTTCAAACTTGTCACTAGTAAAACAAAACAAATTAGACGATGTAAAACATTCTGTTTATGAATCAGGATTGTTATTATCGAAAAAAAGATTAGAAAATTGATCTGAATGATTTTCGATATAGTCAATTTGCCAAGGGGGAAATAGCGGACTCCAGGACTCCAGGACTCCATTGGACTCCATTGGACTCCAATGGACTTCAAATGGACTC